CGGTAACCTCCGGACACATTTCATGTCTTTCCTGTAACTCCCGGACACTTTTTATGTCTTTCCGGTAACCTACGGAAACACTTCCTGTCTTTCCGGTAACCTTCGGACAATTTCATGTCTTTCCGGTAACCCCCGGACACACTATTTGTCTTTTCGGTAACCCTGCCGGGATGTTTTCGTCTTTCGGTAACCCACCCCTGGGCCTTTCCCGGGCATCTGTCCGTTCGGTAACCCCAAAACCACTGGACACGTTTTTGCCCACTTTTGGTAGAACGACCCTTGTAGGATGCATGGCACTGGATAGGCCCCCTGCTCTACCTGCGGCTTTTTAGGTCCCTCAGGTTGGCAGCGCCCGGGGCCTTCCCCTTGATGATGCCGTCAGCTTCAGGGGGCGGCAACAATGGAGGCGACCAAACGCGCACCCTCGCCGTCGGCAGGTCGGCAGTGTCATGCCGCCAGTCAAGTCACTCTGCGGGGATGGAGATGGCCGCGACCACACCGCTCCCCGGGCTGCGGAACGTAAGGCTGGTGCAGCTGCAGCTGGGGGCGGCCCGGCCCGACGGCGGACGCACCGCGCACCTGCACCTGCAGTCGCCAATGAAGTTGCCCGGACACGTCGAGCCGGAGGCCCTGCAGATGTTCCTGGATGAGAACAAGGACGTCTTCAACGGTAAAAGCAGCAATGGGGACTTCGTCGCGACGTTAGTTGCCGTGTTCGTTGACTGAGGGCAGGGGAAGGAGTGGGGGTGCTTTTGGTACGTGGGTAACTCTTGCTCGTGGGTAACTCATTGCTGATAATAGGGAGTCCTTTGAGAGGCTGCAAGTCAACATGTTAGAATGTCACCCACGTTATAGATCACGTGTTTCCCGAGCCTCAACAAAACAACTTTTGTGGAAAGCTACCGGGCACAAGAAGTGGCGTGTCCTGTGTGTCCGGTCAGCGGTCGTCAGTAACAGTTTCCTTCCTCCACGTCTGTGTTGTGCGTGGCACAAAAGCAGAAAAGACGGCGTACGTGACGGGTCGGGACGGCGCGGACGACGCCGCCGGCGAGTACGCGCACCTGTTCACCAGCTGCGACGTGGTCGTGCACCTGCACATGGACGGCGGCGACTTGTTGGAGGGCGTGCTGCTGTTCAACGAGACGCGCGCCTGCGCCAACCCCCTGGAGCACGCCGTCGGCGCTGCCGCCCGCCCCGGCGCCAGGCTGTCTCGCTGGCTGCGCCGCCGGTGCCGCAGGCTGCGGAGGCTGTTCGCAGGGCCCGGGCAGCTGCAGCAGCCGGCACCTGCAGCCCCAGCACCTGCAGCCCCAGCACCTGCAGCCCCCGCACCTGCAGCCCCCGCACCTGCAGCCCCAGCACCTGCATGACCTACGCCCTTCTGAACTTATCTGTCGATCCCTGTGTTGTTTTTATTATTTGCCCAATCCCTTGAGAGGTAAAGTGTA